ATTTATTACTGCTCGTAATTTAGTATGTTTAAGTTTGATGTTACTTGCGAAGTTTGATGTTACTTTAGAATCTGTTAAATCAACGCGATGTTCCATCATTATGTGCGATATTTTATGTTCTGCCATAAAAGCTGATAATTTTAATTCTGTAATTTTCCGCTGATCATCATCACTTCCACATTGCTGACTTTTAAAAATATTATCAATGGTACGCACATGCGATAGGCCAGGAAGACGAATTTTATGCTTAACAAATCAAAGAAGAATCGCAAACAGTGGAAATGCATTTATAAGCCGACTTTTTATCACGCTTTAACCACTTACGGTAGACTTGGATTTGGAGCCATTCATCACGGAATTGTTGCCGATATTTCTTTTTAGCTCTTATCGGACCAGCATCGCTACGCACATCACTTTCCTCACTGCTTGAGCTCATTTTTACAGTAATATCACTAGTCGCTATAAGTTATAGTTTAGACTTTATTTCATATCACCCAAAACAATTAAAAAGTTTTAATCTCAAATAACATGTATGCACCATGGCAAAACCAATTTAAGTGTACCTAATGAGATAGACGAAAAATGCAATGTTCCTTTGTAAGACAGAGACTGCTACTTATTGCTAGTTGCATCATTGCTATAAAATATAAATACAGTATATTCCATACACTGTATTTTATCATTACAGTATACAGTAGAAAAGTCTAAAATACAGTAGATCTACTGTAATTACAGTGAATCTGGAAGCACTGGTTCTGTGATACATATGCAAGCATAAAGTATAGTAACTGTTATTTTTATACCTGGCTATGGGTTCTAACTCTTCTGAGCCTGAAATTACAATGTACATTATACATATAAGAATCTTTAAAATTTTGAAATTTCACGAACGATACAGTCATCAAAAATTCACTTTCACACTGATTCACAACAGGCCAATGTGCCTATCTTTAAAATACAGATCCTGCCTTACTTTGGTTGAAAACCTGCCAAATACTGCCAACTTTATTTACCATTGTAAGAAAAGTTAAAATACACATTTAAATGTTATATTTTTATTGTAATAAAATTAAACATATCTTTCGTCGGTCTGAATGCAATGCAATCGCCATGCTCACCAATGTCTTGTTTAACGTGCAAAATAGACGCTACATGTTTGTTTATAAATCTGTTTCGTGTTTTTGTCTTAATTAAAATTATTTGAGAGAATATTATTTCGAATGCTGAATCTACTCATAATTTTTATGTTTATAACTTAGCGGTATGCTCCTTTAAAGCGGACAGCCGGGGTGCCAATTTGCAGTCTGAATCATTGACCGATCGACGATCTTGCTTCCACTCCGCTCTATACGTCCTTTCGTATTTTCGGGGTTTACAGACATCCATATTTAAAAAGAAATATCTCTGGATAGAGATAGATCTTTTTACATAATATTGACTATATTGCAAGCTTAGGGTGATGAGGGGATGCACCTAGTAACAATGATACAGCAACAATGGAATCGCAATCAGAAAATCGTTGTCATTATTCGCTGGCAGAATGTCTAGACTCAATGGCTAGCGTCTCTCAACTGAGCCTTGTTTTTCCGAACGGAAATAAACGTATGTGTGTGATTTATTCACGGAATCCCGATTCGGGACTCCGAAACGGAATTCCGTATGTATGTGGCCGGCCTTAAGCGATTTCTACCTGACAAACCGAACGTAAAAGGAACAAAGTATTATTTTGACGGATAGGTGCAACGTGCAATATAAAATAAAACTGAGGACAAAAATTTATTATTAAATAAGATTAATATAAATATATGAATTATATAATATTTAATAATATAATATTATAGTATTTAATAAACATATAGGAATATATAAATATACATATATATGCAGAGAAAATGAAACAAAAAATCAAGTATTCATAAAAAGAGGAAATACATATAATTTATTATTATGACGGGAAATTCAAATAATACTCCTTCAGTTGTTTTTTAAAAGTCTGTAAAGATTGCGCTTGCTGGATGTTAAGTGGTAATGAATTCCAGAGTCGGGTTGCTTGTGAAGTAAATGACTTATTATAAAAAGAAGTTACGCTGCAAGGAGTATTCAAAGCCAAGCTATACACTGAACGCAAACTATGATCATGAAATTCATGTCGATAGTGAAATTGTTCTTTAAGGTACCTTGGAGATTTCGGATCAAACAAAACACAGAAAGTAAAGAAAGTAAAAGAATAGAAAGATTTTGAAGATGATCAAGCTTATTTAATTGCTCCTCTGTAATATCACTGTAACATATATCAGCATTGTCTAAAATAGACAACAAAATGGAATGTGCCAACGCAATTTTGGTAGAAATGGGCAAGAAATTTCGAAGTCTTTTGAGACTTCCACAAGCTGCAAACAGTTTCTTACTCATCTGTTCAATTTGTGGTGCCCAGGACATTGTACTGTCAATTAAAACCCCTAGATTTTTTACAACCTTACTGTAAGGAATAGCAGAATTCTCAAAACAAATGAAAGGCAGCGTGTGCCAAGTAATTTTTTGTAGTAGTTTGTTGGTACCTATCACTACTACCTGCGTTTTACTAGGGTTAACCTTAATTCCATAAGATGTGCAAAATTCTGAAATAATAACTTGAAAGATACTTGTTTGAGAATATATTTGGAGATCGTTTGCTTAAAGATGGTAGAGAGAAGTTATTCCTGAAGTAATAGAGCGTATGAAAATTGAAAAGAGGAGAGGAGACAACAAGCCACTTTGTGGTACGCCTGCATCCAGAGGAAACACGTACGCGTACGCGTACACCACGAGGAATAAGTGTCTTCAATACGGATGCATTGACGGCGTCCAAACAATTAACTATGAAACCAGTCGGTTGCCGCCGGAGATACGTTAATAGAACGGAGCACAGCTAGAAGTATATCAAAATTGACTGTGTTGAAGGCGTTGCTGGAATCAAGAAGAGTAAGAATAGTAACATGCCGATTCTTCATTCCTGCTCGAATGTCGTCTGTGATTTTAACCAAAGCAGTGACCGTGCTATGGTCAGGACGAAAGGCTGATTGGAATATTTAAGAGGTTATTTAGATTCAGAAATAGACTAAGTTGCTATTGGACAAGACGCACAAGAATTTTAGAAAGAAAAGGTAATATGGAAATAGGACGATAACTACAGGACTTAGGATTTGATTTCTTGGGTGTTGGAATAATTTCACCATCTTTCCATAGTGTAAGAAAAATACCTGTATTTATAGAATTATTGAAAATTTTGGTTATGATAGGAGCTAAGAGATCTAATAGCACGAGATCATGTTTCGACTGACATTATCACTACCAATTGCGTAAGAAGTTATAGCTGTAATATCCTTTTTAACGTTACAATCAGCAAACTGACATAAAACAAATGCGGGAAATCGGGAGTTGACAAAGAATGAAAGTGATTTAGTGTCCTAGATTTACAACTGAATACGTAACTAGAACTTGAGCAAAAGTTTTGATTAAGCATTTCAAAGTTTAAATCAGGAGGAAGGAAGTCATTTCGTTTTTTGCCAATTCCCAAACTTTTAAGAAATTTCCAAACCCTATTGGGATCAGATTCCTAAATTGTCTTATGAATGTGACGTCGTTGCGCATCTCTACACATCGTGTTGCAGCGATTCCTAAGTATGCTGTATTTCTCATGATTTTTATTACAGGGCTCCTTTTTAAATTTGGCTTTGGCTAGGTTTCTTCTTGTCATTAAATCTTTGATTTCTTTTGTGAGCCTAGAATATTCTTTCAAATAAATTTAATTAAGAGAAAAACACGAAACAGATTTATAAACAAACATTTATTATCTATCTGTACGTTAAACAAGGCATTGGTGAGCATGGCGATGATTGCATTGCATTCAACCCAATGAAAGATATGTTTAAATTTAATTTAAAAAATATAGCAGTTATATGTGTATTTTTACTTTTCTTAGTTTAATACAATGGTAAATAAAGTTGGCAGTATTTAAGCATTTTTCACTACAGACTTTGGCAGGTTTTTAACCAAAGTAAGGCAGGATCTGTATTTTAAAGATGGTCACCCTAGCAAGGATTACTTCACTATCGGAGTTTTGGCGGGAAATTGACCGGCGGCGGTTTGCTGCTCCTGTATTATTGTTTAAATAATGGTTTGAAGTGGACTTTGATATGTAAAAGTGTTGCGATTTTGTGTATTAAGTGTCTACGCATGTGAACTATTAGTGGAAACAGTGAAACAAGTGCTCTGATGGTGATGGATTCTCAAGATAAGCTGTTTGTTTGCATAGGCACCTTTAGATACCATCGCCAACTATCAGCTGTCTGCTGGATCAAGTTGCCGCCAAAATCTCCCAAGAACTGCACAATGTGACGCATCAACATATTGTGAAGCAGTATACTATGAAGGAGTGGGGAAATTACAATAAACCGAATAAAAATACTTAAGACTTGGCCTAAAGGTCTAGATACCAGGCCATAAACTCCAAAAAAAAAAACTTCACTATCGATGTTGGCATCGATAGCTCAGCAGCGATGTTCGATGTTTAGCCCACTCAAATCATCGATGTTGACCATTATCGATGTTTTTTGTATATGTGTAGATACTTACATATTGTTTCTAAATTATGTGGGTATACACAGCAAGGCAAAAAGTAACAATTAACTTGAATATCAATTTACGTAGAATAGTTATTATGCGACAACAACACTACAAAATAAAGCGAAAGCATTGACCACTATGACATTACAGGTGACAATTGACAATTAAGTTGGACGCACCATAATGATATTTTATTAGGTTAGCGATGCGTTCAGGAATTCTGAATTATTCAAAATTTTAAATCTTCAGAGGAGATGCATGGTTGAGTAGATATTGATTTCGCGGGATCGCATTGTTCGCAAGTTCCTAATAATCGATTATGGGTTCATTGATATCGATGTTTCGGTGTTTGATATGTGTCAACATCGACGTTTTAATTTTTAACATCGAAGATCATTGAACATCCCTAACTTCACATTCACAAATTATAAAGTTGAATTTCCTGAAATTTACATGCTGAAATTCATGGAAAGAAATTTTCCAACTAGTTATCTGTTTGAAGTACAACATGAAGCTAAACAGCAATATACAAATTATGGGACGAAATATTATTTTAGTGCCTTACAAAGAACGCCATGTGCCTAAGTAATAGGCGTATTTGATTTATTTCGCAGTATCGAACGTTTATTCATATGAGTCTTCATACTTATTTGTTTTATATTTGTTTTTTAAGATACCATAACTGGATGAAATCAGAAGAATTACAAAAACTTACGGCATCAGAACCTTTAACACTGGAAGAAGAATACAAAATGCAAAAATCTTGGCAATTAGATGATGACAGTAATGATATTGAATTTAACTTTATCTAGACAAAGTTAAAAATGTTGAAGTTAATTATCAATTACATTTTCAGAATGTACTTTTATTATACTGGATAAATATGCTTTATGTGAACAAAACAGTACTGAGATTGGTTAGTATCATGGTATTCCCTTATAAATTATTTTCGAAAACCTTTCTTCCCAATTGGTTGTCGGTTCATAGAGCTTTATGGCCGAGCATTTGCCATTTTGGCTTACTGACCCGCTGTCCTATGTTGGTTACTCCAGTACAACTGTAAATATCTATACATATAAATAAAATGGAAAAGTGTTGTAAATCAAAATAACTGCCCTTTATCAATCTCAGAGGGTTATTTGCATGCCATTAAAACATGAATATGTGACATGGTGAAAGACTAGGTCTCAGATCCTGACATGAATCACTGACAACACCAACCATTGTGCTACCTTATTTTCAAGTTTTGAGGTATAATACCTGATGTAAAGATATGTCGTAATCTTTCAAATGGTGACCAGCCAAGTTAAATGTGTCAAATGACCTCTGGGTTGAATTTGGACTTACCTTGACTAATTGTTATGGGTTAACATACTCATTAACTATATTTTGATGATAGTCCTCCCAACAATTATTGGAAAAAGTGTGTAAGACATTTTTTCCTAAAATTGTTAAATACATCTTCACCAACCAGTAAATTCCACTGCTAAACATGGGCAACTCTCATTGTTGTTAAGATTCTTACATGGTAGAGCCATGCTGCAGATATATTATGGTTGTAGCACGAATGGGTCGGCTTGACCGGGGAAGGACCACACTCTCACAGAAAACCAGCGTAAAATAGCAGCTTAACGCTGCTGTGTTTCGTATGGTGAGTGTAGAGAACTGGAGACCCGTTTTACTGGCAAAGAGGCATTCCATCTTAGTCCTCACGGGTGACAACGCATCTGCATCTTGAGTCTTTATTGAGGATATATGTCTATGGGTCACAGTAACCTCTTACCATCAGGTGGACTGTGTGCTCGTTTGTCACCCAATCCTATAAAAAAAAAAGATTTGTCTTAGTTGTCCTACTTAGCAGGTGTATTGACAAATGCAGCAATATAAATTTGGCACTTTTAAGGCTGTTTCCCATCACCAGTTTAAGTATTTTACGCGTTGCATAAATGAAATAGTTATAGTCTCTCATGACACCCGCAGAATGAAATGTTTTGATGGATTTTCTTACTCCACCACCACATGGCATATAATGCCATTTCCAAGTGTGGTCTGTTATAGACTATGAATCCATGAGAATTGTTAAAACTATTTAATTAACATTTTTCAGCTAAGGTTATATCCTACCATTTCAATACAATTTAATTTCTGCTTTTAGATGCAATGATTGGTGATACAAATATTTTCATAACAAATAAAGACAAAATGCTTGGTGAAATTGAAATCATGATTGCAGAGAAAACAGCGAGAGGTAAAAAAAGAGGTTGGGAGGCAGTCATTTTAATGCTTCTTTATGGAATCCATCATATTAAAATAAATATCTTTGAAGCAAAAATTTACATTGGCAATACTGTAAGTATTTCTTTGTTTGAAAAGTTAGGATTTGAAGAAAAAACGAGAAGTGAAATTTTCCAAGAAATAACATTGGAAAAAATTGTGGATGAGAAATGGATCAAAAGTCTAGAAAGTAATTTTTTGTTGGAAATACAAAGTTATTAATAAATTGTTCTTAAGATATTTCTTGTCTTTCTTAAAATCAAAATCATATTTTTCTTTATCAGTTAACCAGTTCAGTTCAGACTTGAGTGAATGAAAGTATGGAAACTTAATACAAGTCCCTCACAATGAACACACAAGCACATTATTCACCAAGGGTAGCAGACAGAAAATAACACAATATTAATACAGTTATTAATTACTGCTGATGCAGGCTGTCTCCGTTTGCATCATCTGTGCAAGCTGAAATGTTATTATGATAATAATGATATAATTTTAACTATAGGACTTTTGCTCCAGTTTATATATATAAAAAAAAAATTGATATACCACATTTTTAAAACTGACTAAAAAGTATAAAATACTTTTTTATATTCTTACATTGTCATCCAATTCTAAGCTATGTTCAATATTTCAATTAACTAGCTTGTTGGGAATTTAGTTTAAAATCAATTTCTAAATTCGACCCGATTGTTTTAGCAATACCACTCCATGAACTGATGCAGTAGTCTATAAGTGGTTGGCATAGAGTGTACACTGTGTGTGCTTAAGAGATCTAAAGATGTAAACTAGTTTGCATAACCTATAGACTTTGCGTTATAGCATGGTGCGGGTGACAACTTACACTTTTGGCATGTCCAGAGATGGAATATTGTTAAATCGAGTTAAAAAAGACGATTAATGATACACAAAGCAAAGCAAAAACTATCGATGAGCTATCGATATAAAAATTAAAACGGAAACATATGTTTCTTTATAAACTACAATGCATGTAAAATTAAGTAAAATTTTAATATAAATTATAACATAATAGCTGTTCCCGGACCTCGCCCCTTTTGCTGTTTATTACGTTTGGATTTCATGATTTTAATTTTTTTGCACAGAATCCTAATTTTTTTTTCTAAAATAAAATTCGCCTGTATTAGTCCTTATAACATCAGCTATCTGTCAGTGTCATCTATAAGCCGGAACAAACAGACAGTAAGACAAACATTGTAAAAATTGTTTTTGTCTTTGTTATAAATTCCGTATATTATAATTTCATATGTATTTAGTAAAAGGCTGTTATTTTGATATTTCAAATAGGGATGTGAAAAAAGAATCCATTTTCATATTAATCGATTATTTTTTCTTATAATCGATTTTTAAAAGTAGATTTTTTTATAATAAAAATCGATTTTTAATAAATCGATTATGTAACTTACGTGTTTTAATCGCTTTTTGTAATCAGCGTCATCTGTGCGATGGATGTAAAAAAGTGAAGTTCAATATCATGAATAAGTCGATCAAAAGAACAGCGTCATCTGTGCGACAGATGAAAAAACGCTAAGTAAGTTCACTAACATGAACAAGTCATCAAAAGACGGTGCCACCTGTATTTATCTCTACATATGCAAAACAGTTTCGCCTTTCGTATGTTCTCAACGTACTATTCTGTGGTTTTGTTTCTTTCTTTAGAGAATGTAAATAATTGTTGTAACAATAAAAATGTCTTGTAAAACACCTAATAATGGCTGACGAAAGTATTTTATAATGAAAAAATAATAGCGGCCAACACGTCAATAGGCAAAAATACTGAATTGGACCTTTATATTGCGGCACCACTCAAATCTCAAAGCAGATGCCCTCAATATATGGAGCTCTGAAGAAACTTTCCCTAAACTGACCGAATTGGCTCTTAAACACCTCTTTGTGATGGCCAGTTCCGCGCCAGCCGAAATATTATTTTAAAAAGTGGAAAATATTGTCAGGAAAAAAACGAAACTGTGTTTTACAAAACAGACGAAAAAGAATGTTGGTAAAATTATTGTTTTTAAACTCTTTAACTGAAAATTCATGGCAATATTATTTACTTTTTTTGTTTACACAAGTTTAAAAAAAGATTTGTCTTGTATTTTAGTTTTGAGACCAAAATGTTGTCCTTTGATTAGTTATAATTATATTTTTAATTTATTTTCATTCTAGTCCAATGTAAATAATACTAAACATTAGTGGCAATAATTATTTATAGTTTTTTTGTTTAAACTTAAAGTTTAAAAAAATATTTATTTTGTATATTAGTTTTGAGACCAAAAGGTTTGATTATTTAAACTTATAGTTTTGTTTTATTTTCATTCTAATCTAATGTCAATGGTTCTGAACATTTGTAGCAATAATGATATTTTTCGTTTGTTCAAACTTACTTTAAAAAAACTATTGTTTACTAAACTTATCGTTTCTTTTTATTTTGGTTCTAGTTCTAATAAATTGTTAAATGGCATGTGGCAATAGCAGTAATTTTTTTTTGGTTTTTTATTGTTAAAAGTTATAGGTTAAAAAAAAATGTTTCGTAGTTTAATTTTGAAACTAGAAGAATGTATAAAGCATTGGAAAACTGACAGGTATGATCCTTCACTTGTTTATTTGTTAATCATCGAATATTTTTAAGAATTTGCATGCGAGCAAATTAAAATAGCCCAAGGGTAATTTTTAACGCTTAGATTATTGATAGGTCTTCGCGCGCTCAGACTAGATACCGCCGGCGTTCTTGTAAAGGCTCCAGTACACGTTGGTCAAGCGCGCTTGGCGAGCCGCTCGGCAGATTTTTGAGGTGCCGTTCACACGTTGGCGTGCTTCATTCTGCGTTGGTAGCTAGATGGTGATGGACGTTACTGATCGCGGCCTTATTTTTATGTTGTTCATGTTTGGGGTTCCATATAACTAATTCATTGTGATAAGAATCAACGAACCTAAATATTTCCTCATTAGGCCATGTCGCCATGTTCGTGAAATAATTTTATTAAGCCGTAAAGCGTAAATATGAACTGAACACTCGGCCAACGTGTGATCGCTATTTGCGGCTTGCGCCAAATTTCTTTGATTTGTGCACGGGAAACCGACACTATCGTCGGCGAGTGTTGGCCGCAAATGCAAAATACACACAAAACGGCTCGGTACGCTTTGGCCGAACGCGCTCGCAAGCAACAAGCACGCCAACGTGTGAACGGCACCACAAAAATATGCCGAGCGGGCTCGCCAAGCGCGCTCGACCAACGTGTACTAGAGCCTTTAAATGCGGCATCAAATACTACGTCGAATCTGAAATCGACGTACCCGAGCCAGTCGCGTTGCAGGCGACATGTGATGTGGATGTGGACGTACCGAATGTTTTATTAAATTTTGATCATAATCCGAAGTAAAATACCAGCTTGCGTAGTGAAACTGTGTAAAAATAATACTACAAGAAATAAGAAAGATACTGGTATCACATACTATCAGTAAGTATCATACAATTTCGAAATTTCAACATAAAATAACACGAGCCATAAATAAGTTACAAAATATGAATGACGTCATTCAGTGTTGCCGCGTGTACAAAAATAAAGTTTCCCGTGGCTGAGATTTTTATATGCGAATTTATTGTTACTATATTTTATAATATAATATATTTAACTTATTATAATGTAACCTAATTCTATATTATTTAATGTTTATTTTTGTAGTATTGCTCAAATGACCTAATATTTATATGTTGTTTTATTAATTGTTATTTTTATTACTAGCTTCTGCCCGCGACTTCGTACGCGGATCCTGTTGCTTATGCCAGCGACAACGGGGTCGTCAAAATCGGAGATCTGAAACGTCTGATGTTGAATTCTAAGAGCCCGGGGACGGGAAAATAACGTGATTCGCGAGACGATTCGAGACGTCCTAGATCTTTCATTTTTGTAAGTCAACAGGAAATGCCCATCAGACTAAACAACTTTTGCTAAGACGTCATTCCTATATACGAAGGCGGCACTGAAAATTTCGGGAATCAAGGAAGTGACACAACATTACTATTTAAAAATGTATTTATTGCTTTTCGAAGTATTCTCCGCGAAATTTGACACATTTTTCCATACGATGGAACCAATCATTGAAGCAACCATTCCATTCGGAAGTTGGGGTCTCCAAAATGGCCGTTTTGTAGGCGTCCACAGCTTCTTCAGGTGATGAAAATCTCTGTCCACGCAATTTATTCTTTATTTTAGGGAAAGTATAGAAATCATTAGGGCTTAGGTCGGGGCTGTACGGCGGATGGTCTAATAATTCTATGTTTTCTTGCTCTAAAAACTCTTTTGTTCTGTGTGCGGTGTGAGAACTCGCAATGTCGTGATGGAGGATGATGCGGCGCTTGCAGTTCTCTTTACGGAGTTCAGAAACGAGCTGTGGCAAACAAATGCTAGCATACCATTCTGCATTAACCGTTCTTTGTCCCTCAAGAGGAATAGTCATAACATGGCCGGTTTTGGAGACAAACGTGGCTACCATTTTTTTTGCAACACTCCGTGAACATAACTGTACTATCTGAGGTGGAAGATAATCCATCGCTCATGGTTGTCGGAAATGTACTTGACCCACCCCTCTTGTCTTTCACCATCGACCAAAACAGTTTGGGGTTTTTCGAGAGTGCATCTTCACATTTTCTTAGGTAGTAATTGTAACTCTTAGTTGCTAAGATTTCACAACGCCTTCCTATAAGTTTTAGTTCGATTATATCCAACGGATTTTTATATTTATTATATCGCTTCCTTATCCTATTCTTTTCGTTCAATAATTTAATAAGTTTATGATCAAACCACGATGGAAATTTGTAAGTTTTTAATTTATAATAAGGTACAAAATTTCGTATTGCTGTGTACAAAATTTCGTAAAATATCTCAAGAAACTCATTCACATCACACAATCCATCAAACTTCTCTACCCAATTAATTTCTCGTAAAAATTTACGGATTAATTCGTAATTTGCTTTATAAAAATTTGGTCTCTTATTATTGATATTATATGGTAATCTAGTTTCATTATCTACGTGAATCACAATATTAAGAGGTGGATGTTGTAGGTCAATTTTACTTAAGGCATCGATATTTTTGCTTACACTACAAGATAAGATGGTTGTCAAAACAAGATCAAGTATACGACCAGCTATATTAGTCACACAATTGCACTGAACGAGGTTGTTAACGTTAGCAAAATTTATTAATGTTTGGCTAATATTTGGTATTGAAGTATAAGTTTGGTTCCCTATAAGACTCCATTCTATATTACTTAAGTTGAAATCCCCCACAATACAAACGTGTGAGTTTACAATGTGTTCAAAAACGTTATTGCAATGATTTATATAATGCTCTAATACAGTACCTCGTACAGGTGGAGGTAGATAAACCACACATAAAGCAATTTGACGGATTGAGTGTGACACAGGAAAGTCTATAATAACCCATAAATCTTCACAGCTACTTTCCCAACACTTAATGCGTTTCGATTTAATATTCGTCTTTATAGCAATCAAGACTCCTTCTTTTTTACCGCATTGTAGATTACAACTTTCTCTATCCCTCCTGTACACCACGTATCTGTTATCATATCATATAATTATGATATCGTAATCATTACAGCAAACGTTTCGATAAAAAGTTAGTGTTTTAGTATTTAAACCTCTACTATTCTGGTAATATATCTTTAAGTTCTTGAATTTTATTCTGATATTTCTGTTACTTGCTCAAATTAAGTAAGGATGTGTAAATATACTACGAGGGTGGATTGAAAAGTACTCGGCCTAACCAAGAAAATAAACAAATACTAAATCAGTTATATTTTTATTTTTCTACATAATCATCATCAAGTTCAATACACTTTTGCCACCTCCCCTTCTAAGCATTTAGATCGTTGAAAAAAAAATGATTCTTCCTTAGAGTCAAAATATGCGTCTACAGCTGCTTTGACCTCGTCGTTTGTCGAAAATCTTTGACCTCCCAAGTGCTTTTTTAGGTTAGGGAACAGAAAGAAGTCTGATGGTGCCAGATCACGTGAATACGGCGGATGCGGTAACAGTTCAAAGCCACAGTTGTGAATTTCAGCCATTGACTGTACTGACGTGTGAACACGGGCGTTATCTTGATGAAACAGAACTTTTCTTCTGAGCATTCCTCGACGTTTTTCTTTTATTTCCTCTCGTAAACGACGTAGTAAGGTGCAGTAGTAATCAGAGTTTATATTCTGACCCCTTTCAAGATAATCAATCATAATCACACCTTTCGAGTCCCAGAATACTGAAGCCATCACCTTATTTGCCGACAAAATCGACTTAGCCTTTTTAGGGGGTGGTGAACCAGGTCTTGTCCACTGTTTTGATTGTTGTTTTGTTTCCGGTGTATAGTAATGAACCCATGTTTCGTCCATAGTAACAAAACGATTCAAAAAATCATCTGCATCGGCTTCAAATAACTCCAAACAGTCGCGTGAAATAGTCAATCGCGTCCTTTTTTGTTCAACTGAAAGCAGTCGCGGAACCCACCTCGCAGACACCTTGTGGAAACCCAACTTGTTGACAATGATGTTTTGAGTTCGTTCATAAGAGATGCCTATAATCTCGGCTATCTCTCTAATTTTTAATCTGCGGTCTCCCATTATTAAATCAAGTACTTTCTTAATATTTTCGTCAGTAGTTGACGTCGAAGGCCTTCCAGAGCGGGGTTCATCTTTCACACTCTCTCTACCACGCTTAAATTCTGCTATCCATTTTTTGACGGATGAATATGACAGAGCACAATCGCCTAATGTACTGACCATGTCATCATGGATGGCTTTTGATGATAGCCCCTTCTTATGGAGGTACTTAATGACGGCACGCTGCTCGATTTGCTCCATTCGCGGAAATTATGTCCGATTACTTTGTTAATAAATTTATAAAATCACAACTAATTATCGCACACGTTTCGAACTTCACACAATGAACTAGTCTGAACTGAACTAAATAATGTGGGTAGATTTGATTTTTAGAATTGAATGGATCTGTGTTAGGCCGAGTACTTTTCAATCCACCCTCGTATTTTACTTAAAGTATCCGAGTTTCTTATGTAAATATATTTTGAGTTTTCACTTTTTCTTACGAAGATTTTACCCCTTCTTACCCAGACATATTTATATCCTTTTTCTTTTGATTTCAATCTGGTAGCTGCATGTAAAGCTTATTAGGTGGAGACAAATGCTCGACGACATAAACTGGCTTTTTGATACCTGTATGACCGAAGTGCTCGCTGTTGAGTTTGTTTTGCGGATTTGATTTATTGAAGCTGATAACTGCAGCCAAAATCTGATCACATAGTTTAGGAGAAGCCAATTGGATCACGATAGATCGAACAAACTATTAACCAATTCAAGAACAGATTAGATAAACAACTATAATAGAATTATTACACATTTGAAAATAGAATACGGGCTTATATCAGTTGTTTCAACTACTGGCCTATTAAATAATAATAATAAATTGTTTCATTTCTTTAAATAAAATTTAGGAGAATATGTGGGTAATCAGTTGAAGTTTTGTCAATAAATTGCGGAATTTGACATGGATTTTCGGGGAGTTTGACAAATTGGTGTTGGCTAGGTATGGGTCATTGACGGTTTTTTAGAAAATGTGATTTAACTGTTAATCATTAATGGTTAAAAAACCTGTCAAATAAATAACAGGTTTTAAAACTTTAATCGTTAGTGTTAACAGTCAATTTAATATTTCAACGTTTTCGATCAATAACAATTCTGTTGCAAATTAAGTTGAAGATTATTGATTTAATAAGAATTTAGATTACTTTTATTTTTATTGAACTGGAATGACTTCACCTACGTACTTTTTTCAGGCTTAGGACTGGCTGGGTAAAAATATTATCCAGGCGTACTGAAAAGTTCATTTAATTATATATAGATTATTCATTATTGTTTTCCCCTTTGTTCTATTTACAATTACATAGGTATCAAATCTCATAACCTGCAAAACGGCCTTCGTCTAAGTTTACATTTAAAAATAGCGGCAAAAGCTAAATAAAAAGTAAACATTAAAATACTCGTCCTCGACGTGACTCACGGATTGTTTACACACACGAAATACAAAATCATAACATCAAATGAACTTTCTTTACTCGCTAACGCTCACACATGCTCACGCACAAGAGCGCGTTCGATGCATCGAGGCGACGGTGTTCGGTAACCTGCGGAAATAACGAATATTTCCAAAGGAGACTAAATTCACAGAAATTAATAAAATAATAATGAAATAATGCGTTGAGTGTGTTGACGTAAATTGACAGCTAATATTTTCAACCTGTTTTTTTCATTAATAAATAACATAACACGTTGACGAATGGAAAGCCGTTAAAAAACACGTTTATTGATTCAACGCCCACTTCTAGTGTTGGCAAGGGAAAAAATATACCGATATGTATCGAATCGATATTTTTAAACAGTATCGATATATTTCCCGTGTTAAATACCGATATATCGTCATCATTTGAAGATAAGGTCAAAAATTTTATATTATAGACTGTTGGACGACGAAAAAAAAACGAAAACCAACCACATATGAATACTTTTGCACCTCCTTTTATTGTTACATGGTTTGCCATTAATACAACATTTTTAAATATATCGAAATTGATACGAATAAAAAAATATCGATATATCGATGTTTTTTCCCAAGCCTATATGACATGATGAGATGAGTTGAGCTTGAGGAGTTTTGGCGGGAACTTGATCAGCGGCGGTTTGCTGCTCCTGTATTATTGTTTAAATAATGGTTTGAAGTGGACTTTGATATGTAAAAGTGTTGCGATTTTGTGTATTAAGTGTCTACGCATGTGAACTATTAGTGGAAACAGTGAAACAAGTGCTCTGATGGTGATGGATTCTCAAGATAAGCTGTTTGTTTGCATAGGCGCCTTGAGATACCATCGCCAACTATCAGCTGTCTGCTGCCTCAAGTTGCCGTCAAAATCTCTCAAGGGCTGCACAATGTGACGCATCAACATATTGTGAAGCAGTGAACTATGAAGGATAATTATTTATAATAAACCGAATAAAAATACTCAAGACTTGGCCTAAAGGTCTAGATACCAGGCCATAAACTCCTATAAAAAAAAAGTTGAGCAGTTGAGCTTGAGGACATTATTTTGCGGCTATTATTTGTAAAATGTTTTTTCACTTGTTTATGTACATTATTATTGTATCAACAAATGTTTTATGCAATCAAGACGTTGAAGTTAAGTCCGAGGAAGACGTTGGTGTCAAATATGCGAATAGATGTGAAGTATGCAAAATTCTTGCCACTGAGTTACAAAGCAGGCTTGAAGAAACCGGAAAAGTACATGATGTGATTGAAATCGGCTATTCGTTGGATGATGTACAGCCCAAAAAGAAAACTAAGTATGAAAAATCGGAGCTAAGGTTAATTGAATCCTTAGAAGGTGTTTGTGAAAGAATTCTAGAATATAACATACATAAAGAGAGACAGGACAGCACGAGATTCGCTAAGGGCATGAGCCAGACATTTAAAACACTCCATGGTCTAGTAGATAAAGGTGTTAAAGTAGACCTAGGTATACCATATGAATTATGGGATAAACCTTCAGCAGAAATAACTCACATGAAAACTCAATGTGAGAGTCTTTTGGAAGAAAATGAAGCTGCTATAGAAGAGTGGTACTGGAATCATCAGGGATATATAGATTTAAAACATCATCTATGCACCAAGAATGCTTTGAAGAATACCGATGACTCTTGTTTATTTGAAGAATTGATGGCTAACTTGAAAGGAGAACAACTTGATCGTTCTGAACTTTAATGTTTTTGTTAATTGTAGTGAAATGATCAAATATCTTAAGAGTACTGTGATAATGTAAATAAAGTGTTTGAATCTATGCATGTAAAACTTAAATTTTTAATATAGTCCATATAAAATAATGTAATCACTATGTTTAATAGAACTTAATAGTTTTTAGTATGATGTTGGAAAATTTCGCCTTTATTATCATTTTTATCAAAACTATTTAGTTGCATTTATTAATCAATTAAGTTATAGGTACCTATATATTAAATTAAATATACTGAGCAATAGTTTTTCATTTAATAATATTCTTTCTATTCAAATTTATGTCATTAAATGAAAAATAATTAGTAGCTACAATACTTAATCATGCAATTTTCTAAAGATGTCGGATTTTCTTTAGTATTTTAATTCATACTATACAGTATCAATTAAATAAAAAATAACTTGTAAAATAGGCAGGGTTCCACTTTGTTGATTGTATCATATATTTACAAAAAAGTAAGGTCAAGGTAACAAATTCGGTAGTCTGTTCTCTTAGATACTGTCACCTTTGTGACTCGCAGCCTTGGCACATGCCGCAACATCAGGGGTCGCTGTGTGCGACTTACATGGTCAGGAAAATTTTGCATTTTAAACCTAAGTGCCATAGTGAAAGTTTCTTTGCTACATACATACATACAAATGTACAAACATACATATAGTGTTTATTATTTATATTCGTATTTTATTACAATAATTAAATAAATAAGTATTCTATTTTATTCTTAGTATAGAAAAACATTAATTTGACAAACACTGTAAAAATAACGAAATAAAAGCAAAATAATAAATGCACCTCCGGGTGTTCCAACACTATCGTAGTGAATGGACTATATTATAATTTATATTTGACTGATCACATACAAGTGCTATTAGAAGTTTATTGCATCTTTGGTGAGGATATCATTGACAATACTCTTTTTTTCTAAATTATTTTTAAAACAACTATCTTAATGACCCCTATATGAATTTAAACAAGTTTTTTTTGTAAATATGGCAATTAGGCTCCTGCATATTTGGGGTAAGTCCTTTGTTGTACACATATTTGTTAAGGATTTAAATAAAAACGTTTAACCAAATACATTACACTATCAGATCATATATGTCAGCAGTTTCAATTTATTAGCTCAGAGGCCTTAAAAAGTAGTTTTGGTGTTAGAATATAAAATATGAATTATGACAGAATAATTTAAAATATTATGTCCTATTAAGAATTGTACAATATTTTTATACGTAATGGATGCCATACCCGATAAAGTTTACCATCAAGTTTGCAGCGCGCTTGAAGCGGCGTACGGTAAACTTGACGGTGTATGGCTATCAGTGTGCATGACAAGTCTACTTGAAGCAAAAATTGAATTTCGATTATGCCGACTTGATCAAGCTTGCAGCGTCATGCAAACTTGAACGTGTGTATGAGCGGTCAAGTATGCATGACGGTAGTTGGAGCAAATAAGCGAGAGACGCCATGATTTCAACTGATGCGGCATCATGCAAACTTGACGGCGTACTTGAACGTGAGTGGTCTATATGGATGCAATGCAAACTTGACGCCGCTTCAAGCACGCTCCAAACTTGACGGTAAACTGGATCGTGTATGGCATTCATAAGAGGAGGCTAACCCCCGGCCACACACTCGATTGGCATGGGAAGTAGCGAGGAAAGGAGGCAGAGACACAGTGTGGCCACAATACTCGTAATGCAGCACGTCATTCTCCTCGTCATTCCCATCGCTCCCTGTTATGTCGGGTTTTTGGGCGCGAGTCTAAGGACTGGCAATATGAGCGCGAGTGGCATGCCACATACTCGCGCGAAAGCAGTACGAATCGTAGGTAATCGTAACGTAAACGTTGTAGAGCCATGCTGCAGCTATATTAGCAGTATAGTTGTAGCACGAATGGGGCGGCTCGACCGAGAAAGGACCACGCTCTCACAAAATACCAGCGTAAAATAGCAGCTTAACACTGCTATTTCGTATGGTGAGTGTAGACAACCGGAGACCCTTTTTACTGGAAAAGAGGTATTGCATGTTATTCCTCACGGGTGACAACGCGTCTGCATTTTGATTCTTTATTGAGAATAGGTGTAGATGTCTATGGGTCACAGCAACCACTTACTTCAGGTGGACTATGTGCTCGTTTGTCACCTATCCTATAAAAAAAAACTGATCATTTATCATCGAGTGAGCCGTATGCTCATTATAGCTCAGCCACACTGCTCCTCGCGCTGCCGCGATGTTTCCCTTTCTGTCCACACATTGCTCTACCTGCGCAATTAATCGCGACACTCCGCATTAGGTCCCTCGCGTTTGCAACACAATGGATGTTGAAACTACGGCAGCGTGTGCGCTGTACCTATGCATAGTATAGATAATTATATCAATGCCATAAAAAAAAATGTACGTCGTCATCCTCGCCAACAGAGATGGTGGATAACAACTATTCATCGCATTAGAACGACACTTTCGTAAGGAGTATATATACAAGTTTTTTTTTTAAATATGGCAATTAGACTCCTGCATATTTGGGGTAAGTCCTTTATTGTACACATATTTGTTAAGGATTTAAATGAGAACGTTTAACCAAATACATTACGCTATCAGATCATATTTGTTAGCAGTTTCAATTTATTAGTGTAAAATCATTAAAGGGCCTGACCTAAAGATGTATTTTTTAATCTTTATTAACAGCCCTTAGTAACTACGGAAAGTCCGTCGTGACGTAGGAAGGGGAAAAGATGCAAAGTAAGTCGCACACTCGCGCGCAGCGATAAAGTTTTATTTAGCTTGCGTGCGCGATTTATCTGATTAATAATAACTATGTGAGCTATTAAACGTCGGCAAGCAATCAGCATCAAAGGAGTGGCACTTCTGTGCGTAGTAATATTATTTGTTTTGTGGTGCGAGGCAGAAAATTCCGCGTAAATTGTACGGTAAGGGACTGCCAACCATCGAGATGCCAACGATCAATATCCACACTAGGGCGGCTACTCGGAAACGCGTATTCTTCATGTTAATATAATTCGTATGCATATTAGTTTTTCTTCCGATTTTCTCCTTCGGCTGTGTACAGTAATTTATAGAAACAATAAAAACTGGCCCAAGATGCTTAGTAGTCATTAGCATACCTATAAAAATATATACATACTACTTGTTTGAAAGGCCAACGCTGAAATAAAAGGAGTATACCTAATATCTCGCAGGATTACCGATTCATTGGAATTTTGGCATAAAAAAATTTAAAAAGAAATTAAAGACAAACATCCAAAAGTAACGTTTTTTGGAATGCTTGCAAAAAACACCCAGTTATCCGCTAACACATCTGTTCTAGCAAAGAAATTTATAAAACGATTGCAAATGTTGCTAATGTTGTTAAATAATGAAGTTAGTGTTGGTAATTTACTGGACACATTGCAGAATTTATAATTACATATTATATTATTTGAAACGAGGAAGTTTAATTTGATTTAAATGCATGAACCGGTTATTAAAAATCAATTAATAATTAAAGTGTATGAGTTGAACTATACTTGGGATAAAAAGTCGAAAGAACAAATCGGGGTGAATAGATGAACACACAATTCTAAGAATACACTCTAGGGTGTGTAAGCGGAATAACCCTCGGAAATAACTTGGTCGCCGATGATTCGAGCCGCTTTCCGTTGAATTCGGTCAAGTGGAAGAAGCTGATACTGGGGTGGCCCGGCCCAGAATTGAGAATAGTACTCCATATGAAGCCGAACCTGCGCTTTTTAAAGCTTCTAGAATGTAATACTGCCTCAATCTAATGAGCATACCAAGATTTTAGATGCCAGTTTAGCTTTCCTTTCCAAATGGCTGCGGAACTGTACCACTCGACATTTCGAGGCAGCAAGAGTAATAATAATAATAATAATAAATAAATAAATAAATTTTATTTCGTTTTTAAAAAGTAAATGCCTTAAAAACTAGTAGATTGGAACCTCCATTTTGCCCTGAAATTGAAGAAATATGACAAAAGGGTTTCCTTTTAACAGTAAACGCATAAATCTGTGTTTTGTGGTGTTAAATTGGACTAGGTTTAGTCGCCCCAATCAGAAACTAACAAAGACTCGATTTCAAACACAAGCTTGTTCCGGTACTCGACGACGTGTTCCTGAGAAATATTAGCACGGCTGCTGTATAAAGCATCGCCAGTGCTGTGTTCCGTATAACAATTAATGTAACTAGTTTGCAACATGCCATCGATATGCAGAAGGTAATCTCTTGAATTTGAACAAACAGACACGCGCCCTTGTCCTGCTTATGTAACGGACGCCCTTATATTCATGTTAATAAAAATTAAAAAGGGAAAAAATAAACAAATTTAAAATAAGCACCTCTTTAATCAACTGTCAAAGGTACAATACAAACCGCATTTTTCTATTTTCCTTTACCTATCACAAAATGTATGCACGGTGCTACTGCTAACTTGTCCAAATTCATCCGCACATACCATCATATTTTAAGAGATAACATTTTTTACATTAAATATTATAAATAAAATAATAATATTTTAAAACTAATAGGATTAAATACATTCATTCTGTCGTACATTTAACAGACATACGAACTTGATATTGTGTACTCTAAAATAATTTAACACATGGGGGGTAGTTCAAAAAAATGCACTCCACAGTGTCATTAATTTTGAAAATGAAAAATTTCATCATAAAAATATAATATTAGCCTTATTCAGTACACCGGCCATACCAAGCACTCTTTTCATACTTATATGTCTTGTCTTCACAGCCTCACTCTCTACGAGAGTGCATTTATTAGAAGACATATAAAATCATTGAAATGACACAATCATGTTTAACTACCACAAACATGTTGTAGGCCCCTTGCCAACACAACAAGACCGAAATAAGATTAAGTTTATGAAAATTTCATGTTTTTCAAAGACCATAAATAAATTTAACAATTTTACCTTGAAAAAAAAACAACAATTTGAGCATCAATGTGTTGACAAAAGGCTTAACAATTTTCACTTTAAAAGTCCATAACAGTTTTTAGCACACAGTTTGCTAGTAAAGGATCCAGGCGACGCTAACCGGGTCCTCCTAAGCCCTGAGATTAATTATACGATACGAGCTATATGAATAAGGCCTCAGATCATATTCTCAAGGGCGTAATATCGAGGGGCATGTCCTACATGTACTGGCTGGTGTCTTGATAGTCATCGTCGCTGTCGGAGCCGTCGTCGGTCAGCTGGCGCTGTGCGGCCGCTTCCGACTCCCCAAAACCTTCAGAGCTCGATGCATCTACAAAAGATATTCATTTCATTAATTTTTTGTGTTCATTTTATTGTTTGTCAACGGCGGCAACTTTAAAATACTGCCGTGAACTCTCAATGAGGGTTTTTCTTCCGTTCACCAGATGTCGCTAGTTGGGACTGAGGTGAAGTTTTTTGTTACACAATGTCATATAATACAGAAGGTGCGGTTTAAATAAAAGTTGATCGGTTTCTAGAGTATTATATAAATATACAAAACAATACCTCAGTGGTTTGCTCCTTAATATTTTTAATATCTTTTTACTTCTTTTTGAATTTCCTACTTTTAGTAACATCCGTATTTTGTTTTATTTCTAATCTATATAATATAAAATATAACGAATATTACAGAAAATGACATTAAACCTTACATTTCCCTAAAAAATTAACTTCCCCGCCATGTAATCTGTCAAATATTTCACCTCTCTCCTAAGAAGCGTCGCCCTCGAGGCAAAAAATACGTACATAGATCCGATCTTCTAACACCGGCACTCACTCATTTTAATCTACCCGTGAAATGCTTCGAAATGCTCAACGAAAAACTCATGCAGTAAAATCGACAATAAGCCGTGAAATACAGGGATTATCAACAACACAACTAGATCCAAAAGCAAAATCCAATTAAATAATTTGTGTTTTATACAAATACTAGCTTTCACCCGCGGTTCCGCTCGCGCTTAATTAATAGACTACGAACTTTTTATACTGAACTTATTTTTATTAGAAATTGCACTACTGCTATACAATTCGTACAATGTAATCCGTATTAGTATACGGATTACATTAATTGTTTATTAGAACTTGTGAGCAAACTTCGTAGAGCAGACAATAAGAAAAAAAATATATACATAAAAAAATCATCAAGTTATTGTAATTGTATCAAAAAAATAGCCAACGATTGCTAAAGTACTTAAATAAAACTAAACTTTAAATATATGGAAAATATACAGGTTTCATTAAAGTTGCGAAAAATAATAAAATAATCAGTTAAGAAAAGAAATTGAAACTCACAATAATTTATGTAAGCTAAAAGTTAAAAAAAAACCAACAATACAACGTTTATAATTAGTGCATAGCTATATATCGGTGCAAATAACTATAACTATACTACACTAACTCGGACTCTATAATTAGGGGGGGGGGGGGGGGGGTTTACTCTAACTATGTATTAGATGCCGCAGCAGTACAGCGTTTTTGTGTATATTTAGTTACTTACTACCCTCAAATCCCGGTTAGGCCGATAACTATTCAAATCGCCCTCGTATAACAGATATTAATACTACGACTCTTCGGTGTAGAATATACTTTCCGAGTATCATAGATATTACACAATACGTATTAACCACGGAGCAAATACAAAGAGGAGGTGTTGTAATTAGATTTCCATATGTAACGCGTGACAATTTGCGGGGTAAAGGAGTCCCGCCCACTTAACTATTTTCCATTTACCAATAAATAGTGAAGCTATTCGCATCGTTCCATATCGATGTTGCAATGTAATTTAGCTACCTTGACGATAGTGCCGGCCTGTTCACAAAATGATTATAAAAAATGTAAAAATAATATTTTGGCGATTAAAAATTCTTTAGGACTGAATGTAAAACCAATTTCAACACCTTCGTGTGATTATTTTACCAATACTGAGCTCTACCTTTATATTTTTAGTTCCCATGACACAAAGTGTCGCCATCTAGTGTCGAATATATTTAATTATATTTAAAAGCCGACGCAGAGATTTTTCTAGAACTATTTTAATAAATTAGGTATAAAATTACATACAAATGAATATTCCATAGCATTAGAGCGATCTGAGTAGATTTTGCAAGATAAAAGATAACACTTCATCCCTTGCTTCTTAATACTACGATAATTTAAAGTAAAAATTTTGTACAACCGACTTCAATATAAATTATTAAGAACAACTCAAAAACTATTGGTCAGACCTTGATCAAATTTATATGGGACCACATGGGAAGCACCAGCTTTAAAAAAAAGAACCTGGTTAAATCACAGTGCACGGTTGCTTAGGCCATCTCCTCTTTGTATTTGCTCCGTGGTATTAACATATTTAGATGTATCTATGAATGGTCTAAGATATGTATCTATAAATCTAAGGAAACCAAATCAATCAATCCATGTAGTATTAAATACTGATTTCCTTACCGGAATCACGTAGTCGTAGATATAAACCGACATAATATAGATATTGAATAGATATTGAAATATATAGATGCAATAATCTGATATTCAAATTGATACGAAGGGTAAGAGTGGAAGTGGTATTACCGATGCTTACTAATTATTCGAGACCGACTGAGACTAGCTACTATTGTAATCATGTACGCTCTAATATGTTATTTTGTACGCTGTTCATTTTCGGCGCGCTAGTAACATATCACCTCTTTCGATATTAACAACCTATAATTAAAATATTTGTTAGTAATGAAGGTAGAAAGAAGGAAAAATATGAAGAAGTAAGGGTAGAACTGTAAACCCCTACCCGTTTGATTATACTAATGTTAAAGCCTCGCTGCGCGCGGTGCAATAAAATGGGGAAACAGGACGCCGCCTGTTGCGTTTTGCGCTCTCTGTTACACTTACGGGCCTTAGGGCAGGTCTGCCGTTAGCCCCCCCCGAACGGGATCCCGCCTTGTCGTGGCGGGGGGGCTTAGTAGCCGTGGCTTGGTCACCCACGGTGAACAAAGAGGAACCCCTTGGCTGGCCCGAGGTGTAGGGCCGGCCCGAGGTGGCCACTCCGAGTAGGCTTGGGAAGCCCACTTCGGATGTGTGTCGGGGGGCTGCGGTAAGAGGGGAGTCCGCACCCTCTACCGCTGCAGCCGAGGTGGAGTCGCGGAGGAAGAGGAGTGTTGGTATGGCGATGCGCCACTCGCCCTATCCTCCGCGACTCTGACGGGGCCGCACCGTTAATGATGCGGTGGTGGTGGGGCTGCGGGGGGAGAGGAGTGTCGGTATTGCGAGGCGCCGCTCTCCCTACCCTCCGCAGCCGAATCTTGGTTGGCGGCGGAGCCATAGACCAGATCCGCCGCTGGGGCCGGGAAGGCCGGTGCTTCTGAGTGCTAGGTTTTCCTGGCCCCATGGCCTTCGCGCATCGGACTCGGGGGCGTCTGTTGCGCATGTGAAATTGGAGGCCGAGGAGGAGGGCGCGCCATGTGTTCTGGTGCGCCTTACCTGAGAGGGAGATGGGGGAGGAGTAGTCCTCTCCCGAGGAGGGGCCGCCATGGAGTGGCCAGCGCAGGTGGGGCCGCGGAAGTGTGCGAAAGCTTCCCGAGGCCCTGCCAATATGCGACGAGGGTGGAACACCATGGGGTTTTAGTCGGTGCGAGTCCGGCATAACCCGTCCTTGCCCCCACGAGGCGGGTATGCGTAGGCATTTCCCCATGTAAAAAAAAAAAGGTCTGCCGTTAGCATGCCAGCCTTTAACATTATATTATTATTTATTAATGCACAGCGCATGCGATTAGCAAATCAGTATTAGTAAATCAGTTAAGCAACTAATATTAACGTAAAATAACATAAATATGATTTGCATCTAATAACGGTAATCTACCCCTAAAATCAACTATAATAACATCTGCGTAATAAAAACTAATGTTAGCTTATGTTATTTGTTCTGTATTACTTATGTATATTATGTTATTACTTATGTAAGTTTTTCATAATGTTTAAAAAAGCAGGCTGAAATAAATAAATTAATAAAAAGGTAAAATTGCATAACATTCGCATACAAATCTCTTCGTACGTGCTAGTGTGTTGTTTGCGTACATTTAGGTTCCTTTTGTGTGTATAGTTCGTATGGATAAAGAATGGGATTAGAAATGGCGGCTCATCGAGCCCGTACCTTCAACATGCATAGTACCAATAGCGAAAACCCGCTAACGGTATATCGTTATAACGTTATATTATTCTGTTAATTGGAAATTTTCTATTAATGGGAAAATAATTGTATATACAAGTAGGTATTATATTCAGTTCAAAATAACATTTATTACTAGCAACCCGTTCTACGAGTATTTTCGCTTGGGTGGGATCTATTAATGTGGGGTTATTTATACTTAATATAATCATAAAAGACCATTCATTTTATCTTATGAATATTTCTATTTTAATAAGTCTAGCTCACTCTTCGTATTACCCTCTATTCGTTTGTGAAGTTTTATTACAATCGGTTCAGCCATTCCGAAGATTAGCTCGGAGAGACAGACAAAGGAAAATTTTTAAAAAGTGGTTACTCTTGTCTCAATGGCATGTAAATATTTTATACAAAACTTTAACAAACGAAATCAACAATAATATAAAGGAAACTCTCAGAATGCGTCGTAGCTCACAAATTAACAACAACGAATTTTTGTAGTTTATGGAAATCTGTTATCATTGATTTCAATGATGAGTTTTTTTTATATAGGATCGGGTGACAAACGTAACTTTCATTATGGGGGGTCCGTCGAAATTTGGGCGGTGCTGCAGTCCCTTCAGCGATGCCAAGTTGACTGTCGGTATATCGAAGTGTTGAAGTGCTTGTACAGTAGGGCTACGATGGCTATCCGAGTACAGAACCAGAGTACGAAACCTATCCAATTGCAGAGAGGTGTAAGACAGGGTGACGTCATATCCCCGAAACTCTTCACCGCTGCATTGGAAGATGTTTTCAAGCTTCTGGACTGGAAAGGATACGGTATCAACATCAATGGCGAGTACATCACTCACCTTCGATTTGCCGACGATATAGTCCTTATGGCAGAATCGCTGGAGGACCTAAGCACTATGCTCAATGACCTCAATAGTGTTTCCCAACGGATAGGTCTTAAGATGAACATGGACAAAACAAAGATCATGTTTAATGTCCATGTCACACCTATGCCGGTAGTTGTTGGGAACACTAAGCTCGAAGTTGTTGACGAGTATGTTTACCTGGGACAAATAGTCCGACTAGGTAAGTCCAACTTCGACCGAGAGGTCAATCGACGGATTCAACTCGGTTGGGCAGCGTTCGGGAAATTACGGCACATCTTCTCGTCAGGTATACCTCAAAACTTGAAAACGAGACTGTACACCCAGTGCGTGTTGCCAGTGATGACATACGGAACTGAGACGTGGTCCTTCACTGCTGGCCGGATGAGGAAGCTCAAGGTCGCTCAGCGAGCTATGGAGAGGGCTATGCTCGGAGTTTCTCTGCGTGATAAACTCAGAAATGAGGATATCCGCAGTAGAACTAGAGTGACCGACATAGCCCAACGGATTAGTAAGCTGAAGTGGCAATGGGCCGGCCATATAGCTCGAAGAACCGACAACCGATGGGGAAGAAAGGTTCTCGAGTGGCAGCCTCGTACCGGCAGGCGAAGTGTAGGGCGTCCCCCCACTAGATGGAGTGACGACCTGGTAAGATTTGCAGGAAGTCGATGGATGCAGGTGGCTCAGGACCGTGCTTTGTGGCATTCTTTGGGGGAGGCCTATGTTCAGCAGTGGACTTGTGAAGGGCTGTAATGAATGAATGAATGGGTGACAAACGAACACACAGTCTACCTGATGGTAAGTGGTTACTGTGACCCATAGACATCTACATCTATCCTCAATAAAGATTCAAGATGCAGATGCGTTGTCACCTGTGAGGACTAAGATGGACTGCCTCTTTGCCAGTAAAAAGGCTCTCCGGTTCTCTACACTCATCATACGAAACACAGCAGCGTTAAGCTGCTATTTTACGCTAGTTTACTGTGAGAGCGTGGTCCTTCCCCGGTCGAGCCGACCCATTCGTGCTACAACCATAATATAGCTGCAGCATGGCTCTACCACGTAGACAATTTAAACTGAAGACAATAAAACGTATCGAAAAACGCATATCGCAATGTATTTTTTTGCAGTCTTTACAGCTGGGTGTGAGTATGGGTAGCGATAGTGTGCGAGTGAGAGGTGAAAAAAGCGACGCCATTTTCAATCCCATTCTGATGTTAGATGTTAATATGTGAAAACGCCTTTGAAAAACTACTAGGTATATTAAATTCACGAAAAAGCATTAGGCATTAGCGTTGATAGCTAAAAAAATGCTAAGTATTTCTTTAAAAAAATCTAATTGATGATCTCTGATGCACCTAAAAGTATCCATCTACTCTACACTATTTAGTACAAGCAAAGCATAGTTACCCAGTTACCTGCATGTGGTTCCCATAGGGTTTCATAACGACGTGACTTAGGCGGGGGTGGAGAAACAGACCCTCCTCTGCAACAAAAAAAGTAAAACATTTAAATAAGTACCATCTATAACTATTCTATAACACAAAAATATAAGTAACATCTACTTAAGTACATTAATTGAAACTAATATAATTATTGTCAGCTAGCTATCGGAGGCATATATTACCTAGTCAGGTCATAAATTCTGTCACATGTTTAATATAAAATAATTGAAACAAGTTTATTCATTATGTAACCATTTATATACCAAAATGAACTTAACAAAACATAGATTCTTATGACACTAAAGTTTATTCAAAATGGCCTCCGTGATTTTGAATACAGGCCTTCAATCTGCGCGGCCAGGTCCATGTCAATATCGGCGGCTGCCTTAATCAAGGATGTCTTGGGTGACTCCAAATTGGGATGAGGCTTTGAGCACGCCTTTTCCTCCAAGTGTTGCCATATCTTGTAATCTAACGGATTCAAATCTGGACTGGAGGAGGGCCAGTCTTCGTGCCGGATGAAGTCGATTTCACGCGCCGCCAGCCAGTCTTGTGTGCTCTTCGCTCTATGAGCTGGCGCCGAATCTTGTTGGAATACCCAGTGCCTGTTATTGAACATGGTATGAGAAACAGGTTCCACAAAGTTCGTCAGGACTGTATTTTGATACACAACTGCATTTGTTTTTACACCTTTCTCACAAAAATGTACCTCTGTTAAGCCCCAATAAGAAACTCCTAACCATACCATGAGCGAGGATGGAAAATGACCTCGTTGGACACGCGGAATACGGTTGCTCGCTTCTTCACTACTGTGTGCGTACACCTTATCATTTTGTTTGTTGTAGCTCTTTTCTACGGTAAAAATTTCTTCATCCGAAAAAATAATTTCTCGATATTTTTTTCCCGCGTACCGCTTCAACAAAGCGCGGCATCTCTTCAGTCTCAGGTCCATTAGACGAGCATTTAAACGATGTCCTGTTTTTCTTCGATATGCCCGAAGCCCTAAGTCTTCATTTAACACCCTTTTCACCGTGGTTCTGCTTAATCCCATCTGAAGGGCCAACAGTTTCTGCTTACGTTTCGGATTTCTTTGAATTCGCGCCTTCACAGCTTTTATCACTGCTGGAGTCCTAACAGAGCGAGGGCGACCACTTCTTAACCTGTCATCTACACTAGAGTCTTCATTGTATGGTTTGATGGTACGATAAACGAATCTTTTGGTTATATTCAAATTTTTCAGTATGTCAAAAATTTGAATTGGCGCGTAACCGCAACGATGCAACGCAATAACTGCAACACGGTCTTCTTTAAGCGTCTACAGTTTTTTTTTCATGAACAATTCGAAATTTGAATTCAATAAACTTTTTTGTGGCCAGCATTCTAAAAGAAAAGTTTTTACTGTGTGACAATACTTATGACCTGACTAGGTATATTCTTAAGTAATGCAGTGACGACGAACTTTTATGATGGAACTTTTACGTTCGTTCAACCTAGGGCCGATGGGCATGGACCTCTCCCGCTGCAGAGAGGATTTACATTTATTATTACACGCTTGTTGGACAAATTGAAGATCGCAGTGACTCGTACTACTTAATCATTTTGTATAACGATATTTAAATACCTGTTTATGGCAGGGCGTTGAAGTGGTAGCTGTATGTGGCGTGTGGCGATATGGTACCTGTGGTGTGGCCAGGGATGAAGTAGTACATATGGTGTGGCAATATGTGATGTGGTACCAGTGGTGTGGCGATGGGTGAAGTGGTACCAGTAGTGTGGCGTGGTGTGAAGTGGTACCCGTGGTTGGAGAGAGGTGAAGTGGTATCAGTAGTTTGGCGAGATGTGAAGTGGTACCAGTGGTGTGGCGAGGGATCAAGTGGTACATCTGGTGTGGTGAGATGTGAAGTGGTACCAGTGGTGTGGCGAGGGATCAAGTGGTACATCTGGTGTGGTGAGATGTGAAGTGGTACCTGAGGTGTGGCGAGGGCGGCGAGTCGCCGTTCTCGCTGGGCGGCGGCGAGGAGCGCGGCGACGGCGGCTGGCTGAGCGCTTGCATCAGGCGCCCCTTGGATTCGTTCCAGATGTTTGACAGCCGTCCGTCTGGTCCAAACAATAGCAAAAACGTGTCGATCAGTTCGCGCGACTTCTCCTCCCACTTCGCCAGGATGTCTACTCGCTTCTCGCCGATGTTTGTCATCACCTACGATATGATATACATAATTATATTGACATTATATAAGCGTAATTGAATATGGCTTCTTAATATACTTTTTATTATTTACGCTAAAACAATAATTTGTTATCTAGTTTAATGCATTTAAGGAGAATTTAAGAGCTATAAATATTTATGAATATTATATTATATAATTATGTAGGTTGTAACAAGAGGTGTGAGTTATTTGATGTAAGAAGATAGAACACCTCAATAACTATCGATTTACCTTCTATGTACGTTTAGCTATATTCATAGCTAGAAGTTATTTATTGTTGTTATATCAAAAGTTATTTACTGTTACGTCATATTTGTACCATTTTATTTAATAAACTTGTAAGGTCTTCAATAAGCAACCATTAAGCAGTTATTTTTGCTTAATGATTATGACCTACATATGAGAGACAAATAAAAATTTGAAGTTGGTAAAAATTATAGGAATTTCTTTTTAACAGTTTTCTTGTAAATTTTACCTTTTTAATCACCTTTTACGGAGGCGTGGATTATCTTACGCTGCCATCAAACAGACAAAATACATATCAATATACAATTATTTTTCATGCCGTCTTTACTCTTTTTATACTCGTGGAAACGTTTGAGTTTGTACTAAATGTATGCTCCAAAATCGTTCAAAATTTGTCAAAAATTAGAAGTATTTGTTTTCAAGTTTTGTAAAGACAACGTAATATTTAAGAATCAACACTAAGCGATTGAAAACTCACCTTTTTGCCTTTATCCTTGAGCTCATCCATCTTGTTCTGTAGACGGAACTTCTTTTCGTTAAGGAAGGAGACGTTAAGTTCCTTAGCAGAGTATCCGCGCGCGAGGTTCCTTCGCACGTAGATATCATAGTCGCGGACGATCCGCGCCACTATATCCGACGTTGAAACACCTGCAAACAAATATTTAATGTTCGGCTGTTACTCCTATCATTACTCATAATATAATATAAAGCGGCGTAGTGCATTATAATCCGCTTCGTGATCCGCTACACTATCGATTTATTATCGAATTTGTGTATTCAAAATATATTTTAATGTCAGTGATTTTAACACTAATGATGCTCACCTTCCGTTCTTTCGGTAGCGACAAACATGTCCTTGGCCTTGATCATAGCATACGTGTCTTCGCAATCCTCAGTCGTGTAGGGGATGTCGTCGTGCGCAACAAAGTCGATCTTGTGCTTTTCCAGGAACTCCTCGTCATACTCCCATGGCGCATCCCGTACAACCTGGCAACAAGTAATACGGTATATATAGACAAGACAAGGCAAGACTAATCTAATTTCGTATGTTGGCCCGGCAAAAGATTCATCAGTGTCGTATTGAGCTAGAATGCCAATGGCAACAGCAGGAATAAATGAACCAAAGGAAAGTCAACCAAGGAAGAACCAAAAAGAAGTTACAAGCTTCTTGAACCTAAAAATATCAGCATGCAACCAATGCGGCAGTAGACTTATGCTGCCTACTTTTAGAAAAAAAGCTCCTGCACTGTGAAAGCTACACATCAGCCATAATATGTTTCCTCTTTTGTATAATAATGAACATTTATAAATACTACGAAAAAAGATAACATTAGCCTAATGGTTTCTACATATTTTGGTGCTAAGCAATATATTTATTGGTGACGTTACGCTTTTAATCACCTCATTTGAAAAAAAAATGCAGTTCATTTTAAACAAATGATTAGTCAAATGTTGATTATAATGCGAGCAGCGAGACATGATGTCACTCAAACAGAAATTAGGGTGTTCAAACAATATTTTGCGGCTTGTGTTAAATAAATGGTACATAAAGTTTTTATTAGTGTTACTGTTTGCGGATTTTCAGTCGCTTACTTATTATTTTAACAACCAGTATTTATTATGTTTTAAACCTTGAGTTTGAATTTAGAGTCACTCACTCGTTTAAACACTATCCTTTTTATTAAACAAAAAGAATCGCGTAAAGGAAAGTCAAAGATTAATTTTTTTAAATGTATGTTTAATGCCCATTCGGATGCAATATGACCTACATTGAAAACACGGAGCGGGCATCAAATATTATTCAAACAATGTCACTCAATGAAACATAGGTAGAAACTAAGTGTTTTCTTTCAAAACACACGACCGCTCTGGATATTTTAACTGTAAACTAAGCTTATATGTATGTAATCTGCATAACTAAAGTCCGAAACAAATGTTGAAATTTAGAAACTTGTACACCAGACTTTAATATAAATACAATTAATTGTTGATTTTTTTAAAACCGCTCGAACGATTTCCATAAAATTTAAATGAGACCTGGGAAGTATACCACTTGAAACAAAAAAATAATATTCCAAATCAGTTCAGGCGTCTTCGAGTAATCGGTGAACATACATAAAAACGATTCCGACGAATTGAGAATCTCGTTCTTTTTAAAGTCAGTTAAAAATTGAATAAATAAAGTTTTTAGAGGTAATTAAAAATTTAATTTTAATTAATATAAATTGAATTTAATTTTTTATTTTTCCATTGATATATTGATTTCCATGAATAATTAAGATAACTTATAAAATCTAATAACGTTTGGAATACTAGGAACAAAATATTTGAATGTGACAATTCGGCCGACGGAAAGACAAGAATCGTACGAATATAAATGATTTCGTGTAAGAATCCTGTAACTGTATGATAAACATTGCGTATTTGCGTTGTATTAATTTGACGTAGCATTAATGCAGAAAAAATAACAATGAAAATAGAATTTCTAAATGTTTGTAATTTGATCGAGAGCGGTCAGGATGCACGCTTAAACCAACAAAGAAAGAAAGACAATGGGCCAGATTAGGAGTACCCTTAACCGACGAGCGTGTATGCGTAGATATATGGATGTGAAAGAGGCGAGAGAGGTGTGTCAGGATCGCGCCAAATGGAAGTCCGTAGTCTCTGCCTACCCCTCTGGGTGACAGGCGTGAGTGTTTATGTATGTATGTATGTATATAAAGAAAGACGGAGCGTGTGGATTTCAAGTGGCGCAAAAATTAAGCCAAAACCACTCTCAACTTTTTTTTTACAAACGAGCACACAGTCCACCTGATGGTAAGTGGTTGCTTTCACCCATAGACATCTATCCTCGATTACGAATCACAATGCAGATGCGCTGTCACCCTTTAGGAATAAGATAGAATGCCTCGTTTTCATTAAAAAGGGTTTTCCGGTTTCCTACACTTACCATACGAAACACAGCAGCATTAAGCTGCTATTTTACGCTGGTATTCTGTGAGAGCGTGGTCCTACCCTGGTCGAGCCGACCCATTCGTGCTACAACTAATATAGCTGCAGCGTGGCTGTACCCCGTAAATAAACTTATTGTAAGAACACGCACTCACGTACATACATACATCTAAAATCATTTGCAACCAACAACATGGTTTAGGTACTGTAACTACTGTAGGGATGTAACATATACGACTAAAGAAAGAAAGATGTGTGTGTGTGTGTGTGTGTGTGTGTGTGTGTGTGAGTGCGTCAAGAAGTTGATGGTTTTGCGTCACCTGAAATGTATGCAGCGCTCTGTCTATCTGGGTATGCACGTGACGATCTCTGAAATCCATGATTTCTCTGTTTTCTGAGTTTGAGTTTTCTTAGTTCTCTTATTTACATAATACCAACTTGTCCGGTATTTTTCCAAATCATCGTACTCCATATCCGACTACACCATCAACATTAGTGGACGCAGCTAATTCCCAAAGAAAAAAGCTTTCTTACCCGTTTCACAGTTTCTTTTTATGAAGTACACGAATAAAAGTAAGTATGTTAGCGCAATATCCAATTCAACGCAAATGGACTGTCATTCACTCAATATACCGACAAATGAATGCGTTTTTTTATTTAAATTTAAAAATTCCGAAATAGGTGGTTAGTGACACTAACCACCCAGATTGAAAGAAAAATCTAAATGCACCTTACGTCCGCGTGCGAGTGTCTGTATCACTTAGCCCGTTACGCGCCTTTGTTAAGACCGCTTCTACTGTAGGGTTAGGTGTTGTGAGAAAACAAATCGAATCCTTTGATATTAGTTGGTATACAGTAAAATACACCAAGGTATTATGCAATATATTAGTATTTTTAATTTCTATTTTGTTAAAAAAACCCCCACACTAGGATTTTCTCCTGTATCGTGGAAGTAGTTAACAAACATAAATTGCACAAGGACAAACATCTAGACTCATTCTACTCAATTCGACTGGATTTTTATGCGTGTTACCCCAGACTTTTTTTCTAGGTGAATCGATTTTGATGATTCAATTTTTATTTGAAAGCTGGTGCTTATAATTTAAACATTCCATATAAATTTAATCAAGATGTGACCAGTAATTATGTATATTATCCTTAATAATGTGTATTAGTATTGAAGTCGGGTTGTACAAAGTTTTTAATTTCATTAGTTCTCTCTTTCTCTCTTTTTAAAAAAGTTACCTCCACACTAAGATTTTCACCTGTATCGCAAGGACAGTTTACATACATAGAACAGACCCAGGACAATGATTTGTAGGCCATACAAATACTTGTTCCGTCCGGGATTCGAACCCGCGGCCCTTAGCAACTTATTACTAAGCTACTGCGCCACGGAGCGGTCACTTATCTGTTTCAATTTTTTTGCTATTTACAAACATGCGACACGCGACTTCATTATTAATGAAAGCGTGGCAATGAGAAGTGCTGCTACTTTCAACGTTTATTTTATGGACCAAGTATTAAACTAATACCCAGTATAATATGCTGATCTTACATTAGTAGGCAGTTACTAGTACTGGGAGGTCTACTTACACTGATGGAATTTTTAAGGTCATTGGCATTATATGCGAAAACCTCGAAAACTGCGAAGATGTGGTTGCGTCACTAATCAAATAATAAATCTGTAACTATGGCCTATAAATCATAATATTTTATTATGTCGTTGTGTCCTTAGTAGTGAATGTTTCTTTAACTATTTATGTGTTAAGTATTTATAAGTACCTAACATATATGGTAATTAAGAAGTGTGAAACGATAAACTGTTGCGTTGTCGACAAACTGGCTTACAGTTTGGCAAAATTTAAAATGTAAATAATGTAACACTCTTTCTAAGAATAAATTTAAAAAAAAATTATATTTCTTTTCGGTATCCTTAGGAACAGTAAAGAATGAAAAATCGATTGTTATTTAAGCACCCGTATGCTATGCAGTATCTTTTGGATTTTTGAGACGCCATATTTGAATAAAAACTCAAAAATAAATATCAAAAATGCCTAAATACTTATTAGAGAAAAATAATTTTATGTTAACGTAAGGCGCGCGTCAGCTCGAGCGGGCACGTGACAACCTCACGGAATTAGCCCCACATACGGGGCCGCGCAGCGTAGGTATATTTTCATACCTAAAGCGTGGTGGAAGGCCTAGTATTAGGTCATCGAGTTCTGAGAATATATACTTACTATTTAGGCTATGGGTGAGAAAAAAACCTAAGGTAATTGTGAATAAATTTATATTTACAATTACCTTTAAAGCATTAATATTAATGAACCTTCCTGTAGTATCTATTTTAATGTACTTAATTGAATGGAGGTGTAACCACGTCCATTCAATTAATATAGCCCGCTTTATAGTTGCAATTGAACAACATTTAGTGCCTTATATCTAGGGTTGCCAACCATCCTGTATTCCCAGGACATGTTCTAGTTTTTGTAGAGTCCTGGGACGTCCTGGATAGTTTTTAAGCAGCGTCCTGAGTTTTTAAAGTGCCCTGATAAGGTTATGTATTTTAAAATTCCGTTATTACGTTACGGGCGGCCTCACGGCGTTTTTATTTTGTTATGTATGGTATCGTTTGAATCTAATCACATATAAAAAGCGAAAACGAACCGATACTTGCATATAAAGTACATACATTTGCCACGTTTCGGTTCGGTTCGCAGTTATGTTTGACAATAGCTTTACTGCGTCCTGTTTTTAAACTCAAATGTCCCGGTTTTTCCAACTTCAAATCCTAGTTTTTTAAATTTGGGGTTGGCAACTCTAGTTATATCTAATTGAATCATACGCGGTTTCGCGTGCTATTTAGCAATTTCAAGAGCTCCAACTGGTTATTTTCCATTCGTCACATGTCTAGCAATCACACAAATTAATTGTAATTGTTATAACGAGAGCGTTACGAATGTATGAGTCTCGTAGAGTTCAAGGTCTATAAAATCTTATATATGCACTATATTATTATTATGCATGCATGCATAAAATGCGCCGAGTTGCCCATTCACAGCTTGTTGAATGAACCCTTTACAAATTATGTACATAAATCATTCTATATTTCAATACAAAAAGGAGTACAATCAAAATATGGCGTGCGGTAGACCGCCCTATCTCTCAATCCTTGAGTAATTGATTTTTAAACAAAGCAATCGAGAACAAGACAAGGCAAGAAGTGAATCGGCTTTGGTTGCGTTACGATAGTACGATTTACCATTTAGGGCTTCAACACTAGTAACCACCTCGTGAGTTTGTAGTCAAACACTTGGCTTATACATAATACATAAACACTCACGCTTGTCACCCAAAGGGGTAAGCAGAGACGTTCTTTCTACATGACCAAACCACCGAAGGATTTCTTTCTTAATCATGGTCACATCATTTTGCAAATAAGTAAAAAATGATAACATTATATAATTTATATCAAAACTAAATTAAATCCATGCGAGCAAATAATAAATTTTAAAGAAAAAAACAACACAATCTAAAACTATGTCAATATTATTATTTTGATAAACGCGTTATAAAGATATCTACTGATAGCGAATTTTGTAGAATATACAAGGAACAAAAAAAACTTGATATTACGTTTTTTTATCTTTAAGTAGGGCTGCCAACCGTCCGGATTTCCCCGGGTTTTCCTAATTTGGAATGATTCCGAAGGCCATCCAAGAGAAATAACCGAGAAGAAACCCAGATACATTTTTGTCCAAAGAAAACCCGATTAATTGAAAAACAATAAATTAAAATAACTTAATTGCGGGCTGCAGATTCCCATTGGAGAGACATTGTTGCAAACATTGTGGAGATTGTAAAATAGAAAAATAAAGTGAGATAAAACTTGATCCTGTTGTAATTTTGAACTTACTTCTAATCAACATAGAAAATTTAGGCTAACTGGCCTAACTAAATGACTTAATAACTAAAAATAAAAAAACTGCGGTGGCCAATCGTGGCAATTATGGCAAATAATATCACTCCAATCTATGGGGGAGACCTATGTTCAGAAAGTGGACTTAATAGGCTGCAACGGTAACGTCCCTGAAGCGATGTATATTTTATTTTATTTAAGGCCGATTCTTCAATACACAGTTAAAATGTATTCATATGATAAAGTACAACATAAAAAAATATAATTAAAGTTGTAAGAGTGAAATTGTTTTACTATTAAATATATCTAATCGGTTTATAATTTATTTGATTTATAACTTTTATCGGAGGATGAAAACAACCCTTAGTTATATAAAATTTAAATAATTAAAATCTCCAATGAACGTCAAAATCTACTGTCAGCTCCAAAACGAACACATTAATAGCGGAGAATCAGCAATAAAATTTTGCGTCATTATAAAAGTTTGTATTTCTCTTACTTTTATTAAGTATATTAACTAAATTTAACTATACCCGACAATAACTATAATTTGTCATATATTGTAATCGAAGAAAAAGAAGTAAAAATAGCTCTATAGACGTTGGCAAAAACATTATCTGTGCAATAACAACGTTGCGTCTGTTATTTTGAACACGTAATTTCTAAAAATAAAATTATCTCTAAAGCACCACAGACATATTTTTTACAGAACATATATATATTACCGGGGATTGTAAAGTTATATGTACTATTTTATATATTATGTCTGTAAGTGGATAAAAACTAATAAAAGTTCTTTTTTGTAAAATTCCTTTTTGCCAAAATGTAAATATTAATAAAATTTTGAGTCCTTGGTTTTTCTTAAGAAAGGTAGCATTTATATTTTACGTTTATTATGTACAATAATTACATGACTCTAGAGCTATTTATATTTTTTTTCCTTCGAATAAAATATGTTATAAATTGTTATTCCAATCAAATATAAAGACGTTGGCAAAAACACTATCCTGTACAATCCAGAAGCAATAACGACGTTATGTATGTTATTATGAACATGTAATTTCTAAAAATAAAATGATTTCTAAAGCACCGTAGACATATTTTTACAGAACTTACATTATATACCGGGGATTGTAAAGTTATATGTTGGTATATGTATCATTTTATATATGTCTGTAAGTGGATAAAAACTAATAAAAAAAAATTTATGCCAAAATGTAAATATTATTATTATTCATTTTTAATTATTATAATGTAGTGAACATATCCATTTGTATTAAAAACTTGTACATAATGTGTATATACGTGGTAGAATCATGCTGCAGCTATATTATGGTTCTAACACGGGTTTTAGCATGGGTCGGCTCGAACGGGGAAGGACTACGCCCTCACAGAATACCAGTATAAAATAGCAACTTAATGATGTTGTATTTCGTATAGTGAATGCAGAGAACCGAAGACCCGTTTTGCTCGAAACTGGCCATTCCACTTTAATGCTCAGGGGTGACAAGTGACAACGCCTTTGTATTTTGATTCTTAATGAGTACAGACGTCTATGGACCATAGCATCCACTTACCATCAGGTGGACTGTGTTCGTTTATCCTCCTTATTGGGTAAAAAAAAATATTACCAAACGTACTAGAGTTACAAAAAACAAATAATTATTGTTTTGTAAATCAATACAAAAAGCTTATTATGTTAAAAATACACAGGTGCATTTTTACAACAGCGAGATATCATATTGCGGGATGCGACATAATGTACAAAAATTTAAGCGCAAATTAAAATAACCTACAGATATTCTGATAAGAATAGTTTACCTCATCGACATATCTGCAATGTCGGACGGCCTCGTACCTCTCGTCCTCTGTCATCACTGTTCGCCCCTTGCGACTGTGTGTCAGTTTGTCGTTGCATACTGCAATTTAAAAAAATACTTAGCTATATCCGCTTCTAATAAATAAATAGGTTTCGGGTAGAATTCAATTTTGTTTATATATGTTATGACTGACATGACAAATTACGGTTTTCGGTAGACGTCGGCCTCGCTAGTAGCTATTATACTATCGAAACAATGTAATTTCCGTTCACATCCACTACCCGAAACCCGAAAGCAAAGTTTTACTTTGCAATATTTCGCTCTTCAACACTGCCCTTGTTAATGAGTCGAACTGTGGTTTAGAATATTTTTATAAAAGAAAAAAAATCTGTCATGTGCATGCTAGGTACAATTAGTGTGTATATCGCGAAAAATGTTAAATATAATTAAAGAGTTTTTAATGACGCACCACAGATGATGATTTTAAAAGAAAAATACGAACTTTATGTTTTATTCCCCCAAAATAAACCCCTGAAAGTTAATTCCACTGCCGTATTTATGTAACCTAGGTAAAGCTAACAGCATTTCATAACTTGGCAAAATTTTAAGCACCTACATAAAACGTTCTGAGAGAAAAAATATCTGTGTGTATAAAAATGACAGACAGACACCGAAGTGTGAAGGTATACCTAAAGGTATTAAAGGTTCCGTTTGAAATGAAATCTGACAAGGAAGAACATCAAACAACTGTACGTAATCTAGGTATCATTATTAATTTAAAACGTTAACGAGTTATCTTTTTATTGTTACGTAAGTATTTTTATTTTTTATCTAACCGGTCAAAATGTCAAAATCGGTAAATTTTAGAATTATTTTGTTATCTAGATAAAAATTACTTTGTAACCTTATTGAAAGACATAAAAATATTAATGACTTCCGTAACTCGATATTTCTTAGTGACATTATTAATTACATCCATCATTTAAACTTGGCCTAATGAAACACATTCGCGATACATACTCGTCTCACTACCAGAGTTGCATGCATCAGTGCTGGCCTCAATTGGGCCACGCGTTGCTTCATTATCAAAACTGAAGCAAGGTTATTACTACAAACGTGATAACGTCACCTATTACACATAATTAGAATACCTATCATAAGATAAACCTCGTATGATACATGACGACCAATCGCAAGCGCCATTAGCAAGCATGCTTGATTTTTTTAAATGATAATATTTTGTTGCAGTCATCACTGATATTTTTAGAATTAATTGATAATAAACAGTACTGATTACTATAGTTTACATTTGTAACATGGCTCACCAGCTAAGTTTATTTATACGACATTTTTTAGTTTCTTGAGTAATCTCTAGCAATAAGAAATATTGAATTAAGACACGACTGTAGACGCATTTATTTTTTAGTTCAGGGGTTCCCAAACATTTTCAGTTCGCGGCGCACTCACAGGTGTTGTATTTGTCTCGGTGCCCTAGCTAGTCGAAATAGGGTACAATGATACTTGGTAGATAGGCACAAAAATTAAAACATCCACAATATGAAGCGGAGTTTTTATACTTATATTGACACACAAGACACATTTTTATTAAAGAAAAATAGGAAATAAAACACAATGGCAACTTAGAAAATGTGACGTGTGGAGCTTGGTGATCTCCATACATTTTTTTCAAAGCATGGGATAAGGCTTGACAGCGCTACTCTCATTTCTTTTCTCCACATTGATTATTGAGCGATATTTGCTCTTTATTACACCAACAGCTCAAAATCCAGTTTATTTTGTACCTGCGATAACATAAACATAAGTTTAGTTTCCGGATAACGGTAAACTGGAGCGTTTCACGGCGCCCATCTTTTACGCTCTACGGCGCCACCAGGGCGGGCGCCGCGGCGCACAGTTTGGGAGCCCCTGTTTAAGTTTATAAATCTAACCGTCCCATTTTCTATAAATATATAATGTGTTCAATATATTACATATTGAACACATTATATTTCCCATGGGCTCTATTTTAAGGAGGAATACATAGTGAAAAAGTTAACACGCTGCAAATGATTAAATAAAGGCAGAACAAGCATTTTAATTATTGGATACTAATACAGAAGAAATTAATCTAATTCGCGCCGTGGGTGTCGTAAGTAAAGCACGACGAAAACAATATTAACTATAAATAGCAGTTGACGATTTAATATTTTTTTTATTTTCAAAACCCCTACCTAACTCAAGTACGTGTACATGTAGTCTTCACTCATGCGTATTATTAATGCAATTTAATCTTTTTTTTTATTTTCAAAACCCCTACCTAACTCAAGTTATGCACATATAGTCTTCACTCATGCGTATTATTAATGCAATTTGATCTTTTTCTATTTTCAAAACAACTACAATGCTGCAACCAATGCCGCAATCGTGAGCAATCGATATCCTTTGGGTCGTCCAATCCTGCCGTAAGTATCTTAAAAGTGAGATTTTAAAACTGTTGTGGAAACGTAAAGAGTACGATTTGGAAGCATCAATAATTAAGTAATTGGAGAATAATTGAGTAAATGAGTCACCACGTTTGTGTTGTGTATTCATACTGGTATTTTCCGTTCTATGAGATCACTTTTCATTTAGTTGATAATTTCGAATTCAATATTCTCTCATAAATTACTGAACTGATTTCAATGAAATTTTGCACACTGTGCAGTTTGGTCCAACTTGAGAGATAATAGTTTTTATCCTGATAAGTGACACTCAATATTTTTTTATTACGAATTTAAGGATTTTTATATGAAGGGTCGACAAAAAGGGCACAACAACGTCTGCCTGGCCAGCTAGTATCATATAAAAATCATAAAACAAATCAAGAACCTAAATGAGTTAGATGATAACGGGGACCAAGACAATGAAAAAAAAAATACGTAGCAGCTAACCACTTGACGGCGTTTATTTCCCAACTTGGTAAGTTTCACGTATTAAACTCAGATACAAATTAACATTATTTTCTCAGATGATCGTATCACAATCAATTTACTTAAAGTTTAATTGTATAAATCAAAAACGTATGTAAACGTAATCAAGCCACATTGTAATTATATCAGGGCTTTTGGCACGTTAAGTTAGGTTTGTTTTGGATGTCGATCTAGTGCAAATGGTTTTATCAAACCCCAAATCAAAGATATCAAGAGGGTTATTCCGGCTTGCTTCTAGGACGAAATAATTATCTTCTCTATCTAGTATAAGTTTCTTTTTAGGTTAGTAATTTAACTAATACTCACAATTATACATTTTTATTTTGTTATAGTGTTAGCAGTAATTAGTATAAGGTATGATGGGATTGGGATGTCATTTTGACAAAAATCCTAAAAAAAATTAAAGTAAAAAAAGTTAGGTTAGTTAAGTTTCGGAAAAACTCTATAAAAAAACAGATTTAATGCGAACACAAAACATTTACTGTGCTGTCTGGCCACTAACTTATACGTGGTAGAGCCATGCTGCAGCTATATTAGTAGTATAGTTATAGCATGAATGGGTCGGCTCGACCGGGGAAGGATCATGCTCTCACAGAATACCAGCGTCAAATAGCAGTTTAACACTGCTGTGTTTCGTATGGTGAGTGTAGAGAACCGGAGACCCTTTTTACTGGAAAAGAGGCATTCCATCTTAGTCCTCACGGGTGACAACGCATCTGCAGTTTGATTCGCAAACAAGGATAAATGTAGATGTTTATGGGCCACAGCGACCACTTACCATCAGGTGGACTGTGTGCTCATTTGTCACCCTATACTATAAAAAAAAAATTAACCTGAGTTACTGAAATGCGATTTTTTTATAGGATTTTGATTTCCTTATTCACTATTTTCTTTTTCGAATAACTTTAATCTTGAATTAGAATTTTAATTATAAGTATGTACCTAATTTGAGGTTAATAAGAACTAATTATTTACTGCATACTACTTGTATGCAATGGTTTTTTCCGTTAAAAGTGATAAAGCAAATTTGCATTTTTTTTTTCGTCAAGATTTCATCAACTGTATTAAAAGCGTGTTTTTTTTACTAGTGAATCAAAAAGCAGCAAGTGATAAGCCTCACCTCCAACAATGAGATATACATTGGGAAACACGTTCTTCGCCTGCTGCAGTTGTCGCGCGTGGCCCTGGTGAAACATGTCATAGATGCCGTCGGAGTAGACCCGCACTCTCCGCGGCGCGGTGCCGGCGAGCGCCGTGGCGCGCGGCACACGGCCGTACGAGCAACGCTCACGCTCCGCCACGGCCATAGGGTCTGTGCTGAATGGTGCTGCTTGCCGCAACGACAGCGACTGCACATCAAAATATATACACTGTTATGTTAAACACTTCGTTAATGAGTAAATTACTTACCTACTTACTAGCTCAGACCAACAAAGAAGGAAATAGGGAGTGTTGCGTACATTTTTTTAAAGGATAAGGGTAACAAACGAACACACAGTACACTCCTGATGGTAAGTGTTTGCTGTGTCCCATAGACATGTACATCTATCCTCGATTACGAATCAAAGCAGATGCGTTGTAACCCGTGAGGACTAAGATGGAATGCCTTGTTTCCAGTAAAAAGGGTCTCCGGTTCTCTACACTCACCATACGAAACACGGCAGCATAAAGCTGCTATTTTACGCTGGTATTCTGTGAGAGCGTAGTCCCTTCCCGATCGAGCAGACCCATTCGTATTACAAATATACCAGTAATATAGAATGGCTCTACCACGTAAACATTTCAAGTGATGCCAAAACGATGCTCCACTTCTTTCTTTAGCCCGTAAAAGTTCACTGGTTGACGAACACGTATGCACCTAAAAGTATGGTAAAAGTTGCAAATGATATTAGATATATGTGGTACGTGAGTACGTGTTCTTATAATAAGTTGAGCATGGTTTCGACTCGGATTTTACATCACTTGAAATGTACGAGTACGCCTAGTAGCGCCTCGTTTATCTTTCTTAGTTGCTCTGTGCTTACTTGGCTATTTTACAATATACTACAAACATTTATTTATAATTTGATCAAAAATGATGGTATTACACACTGGGTTAGACGGACAGAACGAAATTAATAGGAGTTCCTTGTATGGCAATGGAACTCTTCAAAAGAATAAATCAGTCTATAAGGACTAAAAAACGTGGAACACGCCTATTATTTTGATTTCCTTGTCCGTTCCTCCTTCTAGCTTCCTTTCTACGAATTAGCGGACTTTTACGATTTACGAAATAGTATAATTATTCTGAAACATATTTCATTCAAAATGTAATTTCTCAAAACTTAAATATACGTGACGATATTTTCCTCCAACATTGAGCACGTTAATACTAAAAGATGTTGATATTTTTACCTAGAAACGAGCCTAACTGACGTATTTATTACGTCAGCTATTTGAGCAAAAACTCCTTGATTTATCATATCCTTGAGGCCAATAAAGACTGACTTTTTTACCATGACGAAAAAAATAGGCTGTTGTAACAGGTGAAAAATACGTTTTTAAATTTTTTGTAAGTCCTCTTTAAGTTTGAAAAAACTACCCCTAAAGTATTCAAACTCAAAAAAAAAAGAGTCATCAAAATCAGTTCTCGATTGACGAACAACATACATACAAATATCGGTAAGCGAGTGTAGGGTGGGCCGCCACTAGATGGAGTGAAAACCTGGTAAGACATGCAGGAAGTCGATTGATGCAGGTGGCTCAGGACAGTGCTTTGTGACATTCCTTGGGGGAGGCCTATGTTAACAGTGGACTTGTGAAGGGTTGTAATGATGATGATATGATGATGACGACGACAATGATGAAACCTACAGCAACAGTGAAGCGTAAACGCATGAAAAATCGTTAAAGGTGTATTTAACTTTTTCACGAATAAAAGGTTTCTTTTTAAATAAGTAATGTTATCCCACAAATAACATAAATGTGAACAGGGGGCTAATTTCGGTAAAATCATAAGATCTATAGGAATGTACTACGTTCTTGGAACTGCTATGGAGCTTGGCACTCGTTCAGGTGTCAACTCTTTTCGGCGAAGCCGAACACCCCGACCGGCGTATACTCGTATACCGGACTTAGGTTCCTTTTTCACATTTTTTGTTTTTGTGATGCAAAAATTAAATATGTCGTCATCAGAACTATTCCCAGCAACTATAAAACTGGAGCAATTACCTATCAACCTACTGCTTATCAAGTGTTTTAATTTCCTATTGTCGTAGTAAGTATATTCGTTACAACTAAAGGTATTCTACAATAAGGAAATAATTAAATCATGATTAACACGGTTTCAAACTGGAGTGATCTCAATTACTGGTTCTGATGACGTGGATATGTTCAATTATTAAAAACAAATCAAAAGCAGTATAGTTATAAGCTATAAAACTAACGGCATTATATAATTTTTTGCGATACAGTATTAGCTTATTATCTTCTATGAGGATAACAGTAGTTTTTGTAACTATACCTATTATTACAAATTTTTTATATGAATTACTTTTTTAATCTGTGTAAATTACTGAAGAAACCTTCGCCGTCGACGTAAGAAAATTCATTGCCTATAAAATATCATGTTAATGCTTTTTTATAGTATAAGGGTGACAAGCCAGCATACAGTCCACCTGATGGTAAGTGATTGCAGTGGCCCATAGACATCTATCTCCGTTTGCGAATCAAAATGCAGATGTGTTGTCAGCCGTGAGGACTAAGATGGAATGCCCTTTTTCAGTAAAAAGAGTCTCCGGTTCTCTACACTTACCATACGAAACACAGCAGTATTAAGCTGCTATTTTACGCTAGTATTCTGTGAGAGCGTGGCCCTTCCCCGGTCGAGCCGACCCATTCGTGCTACAACTATACTACTAACTCACCATACGAGAGCAAATGAATAGGTAGGTTAATTTAAATTTCGAATTGAATCTGCGAACCTCCCGCGTATTATTTATTTTCCGCGGGTAAGAAGTAAAACTTTCTACCCAATTCAAAAAGGAGGAGGTACTCAATTATGGGGGTGTTCTTTTTTATGTGTGTTACCTCCTAAATTTTGAAGTTATACTTCTTTTTTAGCATTTGAGAAAAATGATGAGAGCAAATATTTTACGATGCGCGGGCACAGAAGATCCTAAAGATCGACATCTTTTAATTGTTTTGTCTGTCAACTGTCACGTTTTCGTGAGAACTGATAACTATATTCAATATAATATGAATCTATAAAACGTGTTTTATTTTAGTTATTTTTATTTTATTACGCTAAAGAAGTATAACTTCTTACGTACGTACGTAAGTACACACGCACACGCACACGCACACGCACGCGCACGCACACGCGCACACGCACATACACATACACACACACACACACACACATACACATACACACACACACACACACACACACACACACACACACACACACACACACACACACACACACACACACACACACACACACACACACACACACAATCTTTTTCTAGGTGAACCTATTTCGATGATTCGTTTTTTATTTGAAAGCTGGTGCTTCTCATGTCGTCCCATACCCATATAAATTTGATCAAAGTGTGACCAATAGTTTTTGAGTTATCCTTAATAATCTATATTAAAGTCGGTTGTATAAAATTTTTAATTATTTAATTATAAGTAGCATGGTAGCGTGATTGTGCTCGCTGATAACAAAGTGGCGTGATGTGACATCACTAGTCAGTGAGCAAAGATATTCTGTAAGGCGTGTACGAGTCACCTTCTTGTAATTGACAGAAAATTGTTTTTTCTTTAACTTTCTGAGTGTATATTAATGTAGATGATAATATAAACCTTTAAATATCGGCGTGAAAATTTTGTTTTAATTTATATCATATTTTTTGCTGGACCAACAAGTAGCATTGTTTGTTCTTTTGATTTTAAAATAACTTTAATATAAAGTTTGTTAAAACTATTTCGTAACCTTATGAAGTTTAGTAGTTGCATTATTAAGTTGCTAGTGGAACATATCTTTTCCATCCTATTTAATATACAGAAAAATTGTTATTGAATATCGAACAAATAAATAAGTGCATATATTGTTTATATTAAATTTAATAAAGATATAATTTTTTAATTGTGTTTTTATAAGTATATATATATATATATATATATATATATATATATATATATATATATATATATTTTTATGAGGTTAAGATATACATATATTGGTATGGGCCACTGTACTTAATTTTTAATTCCTTTATGTCTGAAATAAGGAAAATGTAATGAACAGTTTCCCTGTCCGCGATATAGACACAATAGTTATACAATCTTTTATGATACATGGGACAGGGAAAGGGTTCCCTGTAAAAACTTATCATTGTCAGAGTATCATGGCGTCACTGTTTCGTGTTTTGTGTGTTGTGTTCTATTGTTTGTATTACGATTATTGTGGAAGATAACGTCTATTGTTATCAAAAGAAAACTATTATAAATACGTAAAGGGAAACATAAGATTCAACCGTACATATTAAGAGACGTCATCACACAATTGACGGTTTAAATTGTTTTTTTCTGAAATAAACCTCCCTACTAAAATGACATTTTTATTCGAAAATAGGAAAGGGGCATAATAAAATGCTACTTTTATTTTAAGTGTTTTTTTTTAAATTTTTAAACGTTATTAATTGCACGTGGAGTAGCCTTCAAACGTGCATGGTCGTTGAAGCCCGCTTGGATCGCATAGTCCTACTTCGCACGAATGACTCGTGTGTGCAAAATTATAAACAAAAATTGTCATGTAAGCAAGGTTATCGAAAATGGATAATGCTTGATATGCAATCACCAGTACCGATCACGTAAGTAGAAAAATTCAAGGTTAATATATTATAGTTAATTCAGGAAACGAATGAAAACTTTATCAAATGCGAGAATTTTTACTCTTTATTAGTACGAATCGAATATTTAATATATAGATATATAAGGTATAATCGAGCCGTGGTAGCTCAGATGGTTAGCGCTTGCTGTAAGTTTCGCAGTACGCAAGCAACCCGGATTCGACCCCCGCCGGCACCAATGAAATTGTTAATTGCAATTTTAAGTGCTGATTTACCACGTGCTCGGCGGTGAATGAAAATATCGTGAGGAAACCTGCATGTCTGAGAAATAAAAAAATATATTTGTATATTTCGAAGACATGAGAAGTTCGCCAACACGCATTGGGGCAACGCGTGGAAGACTTCCTTGCCCTAAAAACCCTCTCAGAAATAAGAGGAGGGTTGTGTCCAGCAGTGGCACGTATATAGGCTGTAACTTTAACTTTTTATAAGTTATAAAGAAATTACAAAAT